GCTGACGGTGGGGATTTGAGCCCCGGCACTTTTCCGGGGCGGGCGTGCTAAAAAAGATGACTTATAAAGATGCTGCCGGAGCCGGGGTCAGCAGCGGTGGGATTCCCCCGGGAACCCAAATGCCGGCGGGTCCCTGTCCACCCCAGGCTGGTCCTGGTGGTGCTGGCGGCCGAGGGAGGGGTGTGCCGCAGTTCCCACGTCCCCGCGCCTTTCCCGGGGTGGTTTGGCAGACGAAGCGAGCCGGGGAGCCAGCCCCTTTCCCCAGCACCGGTTCTGCCCGTTCCTCCGGCTCGGCCGGGCCCGGGAAAGCTGGCGTCTCCCCTCGCACCTCTGTCGCTGGAGCCGCGCTCTTGCCATCTCCCTTGGGGTTTGATTTCCACGCCGGGCGATGCGTCCCCGTCCACGAGGATTTTGGGAGAGGAGGAGGAGGGAAGACGCCGGAGGTCGAGGTTTCGCTCCGCTCCCCATCCTGTGGCGCCGCCGGGCCCTCTCCTGCCGTCCCCAGGCAGCTCTCGATGCCTTTTCCATTTGCATAACTAATCAACATCTTGGGAACCCGCTCATTACCGCCGCGGCAAAATATACGGCAAAGCCTCGCTCAGCGCCGGGGAGCCATCGGTTTCTAACAAGAGCCGCCCAAACCGCCCGGCAAAGATCGGGGCTGGTGGAGGGGAGGATGCTCTGACCCATCTCCCCCAGCTTGAGGGGGACAAACCTTAAATAAACCCCCCAGGAAACTCCATTCCCAGCAGGAACGGTTACACCGGGACCCCAAAATCCCTTTGCCGGGTGGCAGCAGGACGTGATGCAGCTCGAGGTGTCCCCGGCACATCCCCGGCGCGTCCCCGGCGTTGGGAAATGAAAGCCCCTAACTGAATTTGGCAGGCTGTCTCGGTGCCAAACGCTGGAGATTAGGGATAATCTCATTTAAAGCATTACTAATAAAAAGTTACTAAATTTGTCCATCTCGAGGGGTTTCCCTGGTGGGTTGGGGTGTTTTTGTTCCGCCGGCATGAAATTGCCCCAAACCGGGTCTGGCATCTCCAAAAAAGCATCAGGGTGATGGATGGGACGAAGGACTGGCCGGGGTTCTCCTCATTTTCGGCCGGCGCATCCCGGTGTCACCCGAAGGACCGTCGCCCGCCCGCCGGAGGGATGTCCTCGGTTAATCCGGAGCGATGCTCGCCGTTACCATGCCTCCGCTGGAAATATTTCAGATCGCGGCTGTGATGTTAACAGCTAAAATGACTCGGGGAGCAAATCGCCGGGTGGATGCCGGCGGACGCGCTGCCCTGTCCAGCCGGAGGAGGAGGAGGAGGAGGATGGGAGGAAGGAGGCGTCTGCATTAATTAAATCCCCCCCGTGTTTTTTGCAGCGACCTGTTGCACGGCGGTGCCGAGCTCGGCCGGGCAAAGGGAGTTTGCAGCCCGCAGTCACCGTCGTGCAAGTTTGGAAATTGGGGGAAAACCAGTTCCCGGCCCCAGCTGCCTACGGCACTTACAGCGTGCGCGTGCACACACGCACACGCGCGCAGGCAGCATGCTGCACACCCTCACACGCAGCGCGAGCGCCCCAATGGCGCAGCCTGCCCTTCCTTCCCAATAATCAGCAGCATAGCTGCTCGGGCAAGCGTGCGCGCGACTAACGGCGTGGCTGCGCGCATTCACCGTGCCGGCGCTTGTCTGTTGCAGGCGCTGAGCGAGGAGATCAAGAGCATGCACGGACTGCGCATCTTCACCTCCACCCCCAAACCCTGACGCTCGCCTCGCTGACCAGTCAATAAAGATGCTCTGACGGGGAGGTGCCCGCGGTCAGCCCGCTCCAGTGCAGCAGCCTCCTCCAGGCCAAACCAAGTG